CCTATTTCGTGCAAATTTACCGCCGATCTCAGTTTCTCCTTCTCCGACCGTCACAACTCAAAACAGAAAAAGGAAACATTTTTTCTTGCTGTAACACCCCAAACTACATGACGAATAATAAAATATCAGAGTAATTTTAAATCAAATTAACAAACGTTTTAGGATGTTACACTTTCATAAACGTACAAAAACATGCTCATATTAAGAATACGATATATAACATAAATAATAGATGAACTAAAATATCAACTCATGGTCTTCAACTTCAAATTTTTATTAATGCAGCGGAAAAGAATCATATTCAAAGTCATACAAAAACTCTTCAAAATAATTCAACATGTATTCAAATTCATAAAGAGTTCTTAAGACTCCAAACAATTACTAAACAAAAAAATAAATAGCGTTCACCCCCCCTGATGTTACGTATCAGAGCAACAAAGCCAACTCGAAAATAAAATGAAGAGCGACCTCTTCCAATCCTTGCAGCCTCAGACTACTCCTGACTATCTCCATGATGCCATATAAAGCATCATTCCAACAGAAGGGTGACATATCACAACAATATAAGATAATGTACAATAATAAGTATACAACAATTATGATCACACATAGTCATACATTCTACATCTCACATCTTCACATAATCAACAACAATCATATTACATATTGCTTACACAATCACACATAATCATCCATACATGGCAATTGTAAACATGTAATACATACACCAATCATGTAACTCAATCATCATGTTAACAATGATGCAATACAATGAGACCGACTCACAAACTCAATACATGTGGTACTGTAATACGGTGGGACAACTGACTTGGTTGTTATGCGTTTGATCACAATTGTTGCAGATAGCAAGAGTCGCCACCGACTTTTCTTTTATCCAATAAGGAAAGGGTGAAAAGAATAGGAAAGACCTTTGAGATATTTTCTTGAGTTCGGGGGGTAAGTTATGAAAAGGGAAGGTGTTAGCACCCTTTTCATCCATAGTTATCTATGGGCTCTTAGTTGCTTGCTAGATCACTTTTGAAATTTCTTTGTTTGAAATGTGTTTGTGGTGGGTTTTGAAAGCATTTTTGAAAAGCGCATTCGTTGTGGCAAAGTTTGTAATGGTTCTCGTCTCTATAAGAATGCATACAAAGTGTTGGACTTTTGAAAATATTTCATGTTTTGAAAGTGTTTAGTGTGTTTGAAAAGATGTTTGTTTTTGAAGATGAATTGCAAGCAAGTAACTAAGAACATTCTACCTACTCAAAAGTCTTTTGTTCATTTCTATATTCCTTTGATATTTCTATTTTACCATTGATTGGTAAGTAGACCTATCTTTGGATATGAAGGGACGGGCGTGGTTCATCGTATAGTCACGGATAGCAATGTTGTGAGATACCTTAGCCATTTTTTAAGGGGTCTAAGATCATTTTGTAAAGTGTGCAATTGTTTTGTATTTCATTCTTGGTTTAATCTTGAATTAGGGTTTTCTAGTCATTGATTTTATCTTGCCATACAAACCCTAATTACTAGCATTTATATGAAAGCGATAAATTACGAGAAAGTAAATTTCTACGCTATTACATCATTAGGGGATGGGGTATACAAATTTCCAAATGGAGATTGCAAGAAATTAAATCCTAATTATCTATTATAACCATATTGAATTTGAATAAATGTACAAGAAATGAAATGAATATAATGTATAAGTATAAATGGATGAAGAATGGATTTTGTTTGGTTTTTGTTAAGGAAAAGTTTTGTTTTGACCTAATTAATTAAAATAAAATAATTAAATAAAACAAGAAAATAGTTAAATCTAAGTTAAAAGAAATAAATTGACCTAAATTGAAGAAAAAAACTTTTTTAGGGTTTTTTGTGAAAAGAGTTTTAATATTAATTACACTAGTATAAAATTAATTAAAAGAAAACCTAAGTTCTAAACTAATTAAAAGAAAATAAAACAAAAGTATATATGTATAAATATTAAATAAAATATTTTGGATTTCTTTATATGAAAATAATAATAATAATGATAATATAAGTAAATAAAAAGAAAATAATAATAATATTATAAGTAAATAAAAATAAAATAAAATAAAATAAAATATAAAAATGAAGTCAAGGGGTAGAAAGTTGAATTGAGGTGTTTTGTAGTAAAACTGTTTGGTTTTAGGTCTGGCCTAAAAGTGATTTTTATATTTTGTAATCAGAAAAGCAATAAAAAAGGTATAGATGGACTTTAAGGGAAAATGGGGTGCAAGGCCCAATAGAAGAAAAAACGTGAATGAAAAGTAAAAATGAGGGTGGGTACGAGTAAAGGAACTTGGGCCTTGGCTTTATTGATTGTCTATCAGCAAGGTAGTGTGGCCAGGAAAGGGTGGGGGTGGGGGGGGATATGGCGCTGAAGGATGGAATTGGACTTAGGAAAAAAATGGGTTTGGCCCATTATCATAAAAGAGAAACAAAAACAAAAATTTATTGTTTCATTTCTCACCAACCCTTTTTCGTTCACTTCAAAAACTCTCTTCATCCTCTCTCTGCCTTCTCCATCAAAAGGCTTACTGGAAATCTCCCTAGCAGCGGCGAACAATGGTGGACGGCGGTTACCACAATGGCGATT